GATGCAAGCATGCCTGCATAGACCGTCATTTTTTTGTTATTTGTTGCATATCTATGTTTGAGATTAGGAGTTTGTGATTTGATTTGTGATTCAATCATATGATTAAATGATGCATATCAATTGTGTAAATTCTAATCTAATTAGCAATGTTCCCATGGAATTTGGATGTGGTTCCCTATGATTAAAACCTTCATTTTCAACCTATTTTGAGATTCAGGATCCTTGCTAGTATTTTTTTTTGGAATTGCATATATGTGGTAAAGCCATAGGCTCATGGTTCCATCCTTAAATTTAGCTTCTTTTGAGTAGATATGAATCTCGTATTGAAATATGCTTGGTGGGTTTTGTTATGTAATGAAAGTTTTACTCTTTTTTTATTTCTATAATAAATTATAAATTATGTTTATACATGTTTATAATTGAAGAGGTAGTGTGAAACTAATGCAAGAGTTAGAAGAAATGTCAAGTTAACTCCTAATCAAGGATCTCGGGCTTTTGTCGCTAGCCGATATGCTATGGTACGTTGGACACTTTTGATATTTATTATAAAGTTTATTTTTATTTTAAAGTCTAATTTTTATTTTTTGAAATCATATAGCGCAAGGATGATGAAGAACCAAATAGGATGGATTTCTTCAAGGCAACTCATTATTCAAATGACAAAGGATGGACAACATCTAAGGCACAAGCAAAATATGTAAGACTTCACAAAATTAAGTATTAAATTGTAATTTTTCATCTAAGGATTATTTTATTTATGAATGACTTTTTTAGGAGAAAATTGTGGAGCTGCAATCAACTTCAGTTGAAGAAGAAGCAGAAAATATGTAAGCCTTGAAATCACAACCGACTCAAGGTTTGGATTGAGATTGCTACTACGAAATATTCCACAAGTCATATTATTATCATATTTTGTAAACATTTAAACATTTTTATATTTATAGAAATGAAATTATTATGTTTTTATTGAAATATTTGTTTAAATCTTATTATTTTGCAATAAGTGAATTATTTTTTATTTAGATTTGTATAAGTAATTTTTCATCTAAGGATTATTTTATTTATGAATGACTTTTTTTTAAGAGAAAATGGTGAAGTTGCAATCAACTCCAGTTGAAGAAGAAGCAGAAAATATGTAAGCCTTGAAATCACAACCGACTCAAGGTTTGGATTGAGATTGTTACTACGAAATATTCCACAAGTCTTATTATTATCATATTATTTTTATTTTCTGTAAACATTTAAATATTTTTATATTTATAGAAATGAAATTATTATATTTTTATTGAAATATTTGTTTAAATCTTATTATTTTGCAATAAGTGAACTATTTTTTATTTAGATTTGTATAAGTAATTTTATTTTAATATATATTGTCACTAAAAAAGTGACAATTTTTAGTTTTGCCATTATATTGGTAACATTATATATGGTGAAACTATGCATAATCATCATTCATAATATTATTAGGTGACGATATATTATGTCACTAAAAATGTGACAATATTTTTTTCGTCACTTATAAGTTGATTTTAATGCATTATTTATGACAATATAAATTATTAATAACGAAATCTTATTTAATTTAGTGACGTAATCAATTGTCATAGAATATAAATTATAAAGTGAAGCATAAACGTCATTCATAATATTATTAGGTAACATTTATATTATGTCACTAAAATTTTGACAATATCTCTTTAGTCACATATAGGTTGATTTTAATGTATTATCCGTGACGATATAAATAATCAATAATAAAATTTTACATAATTTAGTGACAATTAGTTGTCATTGAATATTAATTATATAGTGATGTTATATATAAATGTCATCGATGCTACTATTAGGTGACGATATATTACGTTACTAAAAATGTGACAATTTTCTTTTCATCATGTATACAATGAAATTATTGTGTTATTGGTGACAATATGATTTATTAATGACGAAAATGTACATCATTTGATGACAAAAGTAATTGTCACTCGATGTAAATTCAACTGTGACGCTAGCTATTAAAGTCACTATATATTTAATAATACATGACGATAATACATACATCGTCACTTTTGAAATTTAGTGACACACCTAGGGTGACGATCGTCGTGACATTGACTTTTACGTCACAAAATACATCTAATGACATAAATTGAAATTTTAGTGACAATAACCTAGATGCCACTAATAAGAAAATTTATCGTAGTGTTGGTGAATAGGTGAGATTCGAATATCTATAGACTACTAATAGACCATCAAACTACATTTACTGAAATGACAACCATTGTTTTACTTTGCGTATGTGAAATGTAGTAGAAATGCCATGAATGATTATTGAATGCTATACATACGAGTAAAGAGGAAATAGTTGATCAACTTTTATATTTTATTTGACATTATCAAAACCGACGACCGAAAAAGAGTGGGAGCATAGTTAACACTTTTGAGTAGCTTCTAGATAGAATGTAATGATAATAAATCTAGAGAAGATGGAGAAAATAAGAAACAAGCAAAAATTTGGGATAATTAATCCTTTCCAAATGACGTCAATTTTGGAGGATTCTTTTTGTAGAAAATGATGTTACGAAGTGACTCGATAAACTCGATCAAAAACTGCCTTATGACTCATGCGTTTTTTACTTTGGAGATAATTATATTTTTAATCTGTCCATTTTGTATATATTTTTTAATTTAATATTATTTGGATGGTTAATTTATATTTAACTCTATTGTTTAGTTCTAACATCTTTCTTTGTCTATTTTTCAATACTTTTATTTATTTTTATTTTATTCTTTAACATTATTTTATTTTATTTTATATTATATTATATTATATTATATTATATTATTTGTTTATTTATTTATCTATTACAGAAATATAGTGGAGGCATCTCAAAGTCATGACACCACAACAAATGATGAAAAGAACGTTCATGGAGATTTAGTATTCATGTGGGGATTCCAAAAATACTTCCATGTATTAGTCATGCAAAACATTACGTATTATGCTAAGAAAAAGTTTTAGTAGCATTTTTCGTAGTTTCTCACGGTTTTTTGCGAAGGTATTCTTACCAAAACATGTTCGTCCATAACCATTGTTACATGTTTATGGGGTGATGCCCGTGAGACGATGTGGAGGGATACTGTGGAAGCTTTCCATGGTTTTCAATATCCCTCTTCGAGGTAGCATTATCCAAGGAGTGGCTCTCTGTAGCTTTAAAGGTGCTCCTTCGTACACTTCACTGATCCTGTGACACTATCCTTGTCTAAGGTATCTCTAACATTAGTGATAATGGTATTTGTCACCTTTTAACTAACAAGCTTTGCCGACTTTAGGATCAACAGCGTCGCATCAACTTTTCAAAGCTCGTAGGAATAAGAATCCCTATGAGAAAAAGCATGTGTGGTTGTTCAGTTCATTTTTCATAGGTTATTCGCCTACACGTGTGTGTTCTACGAGTCAAATCTCACTAGACCAAGTTTGGCATATAACGACATTTTTAACGGTATTTTTAGAACAAATACAGCAAATTATATAAATGTAACAGCGTTTTGATGAAAAAAGACTCCAAAAAAAAATAATACAAATAGTGGTGTTTATTCCCTAAACATCGTAATAAACTAATATACTGCAAAAACACCGCGCCGAATATGTGATTTTGTGTCATTTGTTTAGATTAATATATTCCCAAATCCCTAATTTACAATTTTGAGCATTCTCTATCGACAGAATCTCTATGCCCTCTTCGCTTCTATTCTTCGTCGCACAAATCTCTCTAGGTATCCTCTCTTTGCCTATTCTCTCTTCTATTCTCTCTTTGCCTCTTGTCTACTATTCTCTGTCACACAAATCTAAAGATTTTTTCTCTCCGCGCTGTCACCGAGCCGAGTATGAAGCTAAGATTCGGAGAGCAAGAGCATTGTAGTTCCTGACACATGAAACAAGAAGAAGGTATCATTCCTTCTCTATTTTCCTCAAAATTTGCTATCTTTAGTTGGTATCTTCTTCAATCGGAATGTAGTTCCTATTTCACTTCTCATTTGAGTTTTGTTGAATTTGGTTCTATCCATATTCATTATGAGCAGTAATTTGTTTCAGTTCTGGTTTTATTACATTTTATGCTCTATTGAAGTTGAGTTTTGTAGAAACACAACCATGATCTCTTAACTTTTTCTATTCAATTGCATTTTTTTAGTTCTGATTTTATTCTATTGATGTTGGTTTGAGTTTTGTTGCATTTTAAGTCTGGTTTTCGACGCTATTTTAGTATGTTGCATTTGTTTCAGTTCTGGTTTTATTAACTATTAAATCCAATTAACAAATAATCCTTAAATTGTATGTAATTTTAAGCAAATAATTTGCCATTTTGAACTAATTTGCAGTTTCTAAAAAGAATCTTTGGATCTAAGGATTCTTAAGTTTTAAATATTACTTGCTGAACATAAGTTATAAAATATTACATAGCAGTTTAAGCTTGAAATAATTCAATGATGTTTAAAATTAAAGTAAATGGCAGATGCAATAAACATCATGAATCATGAATGTACCTGGTAACTCGGACTTATTGGGGAACAACTTCTTCCTAGATATACCATTCCAATCAAACAATTGCAGAAATCCTCCCTTAGCGCGTTTCCTCTCAACTTCCAATATCTTATCTATAAAAACCAAAATTACTTAAAGATTTAAACCCAAAAAACAAGAAAAAAAAGTTCAGTTATTCATGAAACAAAACAAGACCCTAAAAATCAATCAAAAACAAGTATTACCATTGTGTTTAATGGCACAGAAAAAGGGAAAAAATAAACTTTAAATTCAAAAACCATACATAGTTTCGCTCACATGGAGACACTACAAGAAAATATACCTTTAATGACACACGAACGATGACACACGGAGTATTTAATAGTCATAATCCAAAAAATTTGCAAAAACACGGAGTACACTTTTAATTGTGTGTCATTTGTAAAAGTCATCTTTTAATTTCCCCCATTATTTTCATCCTTTCCCGCTTCTAGTCCTGGCCTCCTCGATAAGCAGTTCACGCACGCATGTTTCCCCCCTTCTTCTCTTTTTCCCTTTTTCTCTTTGCTTCAGTCCACTGCTTTATCCATTCACCACAACTTTACCCGAAGGGAAACCACATTTGATAAAGAAGCTTGCTGATGTAAAATGTCAAAGGGTAAGAAATTTCTTTTTAATCTTTTCAATTAATCCATCCTTTGTTTCTCTGTTTTGCGTGTCACTTGCCATTGATACTTAGTTACTTCTACGGTTTCTGGCTGCACTTTCACGTTTTTTTCTTTTGCTATTCTTCATAAATAAGGGTGTAAAGAAGGGTTCATTGAAAGAGGTGAATGCTGGGATTTCGGTGTTGGAGGACCAGATATCACAGTAGATCTGCTAAAGGAATTGCTTCTGGTTTTCATTAGCTGTTTCGGAATGGAGAGTTGAAGCATTGTTTTATTTTGGATGGTAAGCGTCGGAGGGAAAGAGCAGCGAAGTGAAGAGAAAGTAGGAGAGGTGGTAGTTCCAGATGATGAACAGAGCTCCGGGGAGCGATCGTAAAGGGCGGTGGCATTTGTAATTTCCTCACATGGAATGGCAGATCTTGTTAGCTACGGTAATGCCCAATGTGACATCGACCAAGTCTTCCCTTTTACTTTTCTACTTTTCTTTGTTTTGTAGTTAACCTTTAAGATTTTGTTTATACTTTATTCTTATTCTCAATTTCATTGTTAACTTTGTTTCACTTTCAAAATTTCCCTCAAATTTTCTGATCATGGGAAGAAACGAAGGGTTATCTGGAGGAAATTTTGGATTTTCTTCTATTTTTTGGAATCTTTAAGTGTAGCATTTGGTTTCTTATTTCTAGATTTTTGGAGACTTCACATTACTTGGAAGATTTTTTTTTGGAATCTGATTTAGGAGAATCTGGAGCACTGTGCTTGAGAATATTGAAATTTTGTGTTATTTTCATAAACTCATACAAGACTCTAAAGATGAGCCTTCAATGCTGGCAATAAAACTTTATGTGGTATGAGTGCCTTTTTTGGTTAATTAGGTGGTCTTTAACTCTTTATGGTGCACGCGTTACAGAGTTGGCTCTTGATTTTAATACCATTTATTAACGCAGCTGACTTTTATTATCTGTGAATGTTTCAGATATTGCAACACATGAAATCTAGTGGGAATGAACATTCAATGCCGTTCCAAGTAATATCAAGGTGAAATATAGTTTGAGGTTCTTTAAGTCTTATGAATGAACACATGATTTTGTAAACTAGTGAGAGAAGTGTTGTTATTTTCATCTAGACGGACATAGTGATTTAGAAAATGGAGTTAATTCAGATAATGGGGATCTAATGACTAAATTTGTTTGATTGTTCACTGTTCACTTATTATAATTTGCCATTTGAATTATTTGTTTTATTTCCTTTAAATGGATGCAAGAACCTTCATTTTCTTTTTATAGATAATGAAATTAGAAGTGGAATTATTTCAGGTTGTCCTGCAATGGTTGAAACACCTTTGACTAAGAGTGTATTCCCTTCTGCTATAAGAGCATTAATTGCCCTACCATGAATGAATTATGAATATGGTTGGACATAAGTTAAATAGATCTCAGTTATGTGGTATTTTACTTTGGCCCATCCTCTTTTTCCCCAAGCAAGCTATTCTTACCTTTTTCCTTTTTGCGTGGAGCTATACTTAACATTGTACTAAGCAACACATGGTTGAATTGAAGTAAAAAATATGTGTTTAAATTAGGTTGTTCACTTATGTGGCTGTTGCTATTCAGATTTATATATTTGACTCCAGGATTATATGTATACATTTTCTAGCTTGAATTAAAGTGTACTCTCACCTAAACTTATTCTCCAGTTTCTCCCCTCTTTTACTCTTATGTTTTTGGATAAATCTACCTTTTGCATTTGTCTTTTAGCTAATCTAACTATTAGTTAACTTTCCTTTTCAGTATCTCAGTGGTCGCAACGATGTTTAGAACTTAACATCGAAAGATATATATCTTTGTTCAAGTCAAATTTTCAGTGACGTTGTTAACCCTTTCTTTGGGAATGTCTACTATTTTACCTGACATAATATTCTTTATTCAAGGGCAATGGAGACTGTTATCAATCGACATGGTCTTGATCTGGAGGCTTTAAAATCATCCTGGCTTCCTACTATCGGGTCTCAAGGAATGGATTCTACATCTGGACAATATTTTGGCAAATTGTTGTTAATTAAACTTCCTTTAGCTTGTCATGGAAAATTATTACATATGTGACCTCATTGTTGCATGACATAGTGACTGAACCATTTATATATGAGTATTATTCTCCAGGATCTTCTTTGGCTGTTGCAGTTTCTAAAGACTCTAAAGCAGGTTTGGCGCAAAATGAGATACCTAAGTTTGATCCATTTACATCCAGCAGGCCACCCATTGGCCCAAGCATTGCTGAACATGAGTATTATTAGGGAGTTGGAACACACAGGGGTAGTTAGTCTTTTGATCATGGAAGCCCATCAAGTTTGGACACCCGGTCTGCTAACTCCCAATCACAAGACAAACAAATGACTTAAAATGATAATAAGAAGGCTGCAATTGCAACTAAGCGAAAAAGGGTCGAGTCATCAGTACCATTGGAACTAAATTTTGATGAATCTCTTAATGTTGTTATTGATCCTAGGAAAAGGAAGATGAATAAGTTTGAAACATCTGACCCTGCTAACTACAACATAGTCCCAAGTAGTGGTCAAATGGAGCATTTTTCATCCTCACCTGGAAATATGAGATCGATGCATAGAAGTAGACAAGATGGTCAGAATGTAACAGAAAATCTAGTGGATTTAACAAATGTTAGCAATTTGATGTCACATATGATGGACTAACTCTTGAGATTGTATGTAGTAAATTAATTGAATAGTTTAGATATTCATCTGTTTATGTTAATTCATTGTTGTTATTTTTTTTAATTTAGATGCAAGAAACGGGAAAGGAGGAAGACGAGATTGATAGAGCATTGTTGTGGAAAAAGGCAAGACAAATGAGAAAAGGAGGTTATGACCCGAATGACCAGATTGTTGTTGATAAAATGGTAAGTTCCTGTGAACATTCCTACGTTATTTATTTTCTACTTATTGTTATAGCACCAAGTTAGTATATATATGTCTGCTTATTTCAAACTACTTTATTTATTTCCATTCTTGCAATAATCTTATTATTATGATTAAAATTGGTCATTTTAGTACTCTTTGATAGTTATATACTTCACTTTAAATAAGTATAAATTATATACTTATTTCATATTTTTTTACTTAGGTTGGTGATGGGAAGGAAGAATACACGGATGATGACATTGATGATTTTCGCAAAGAATGGGTATCTTATGTGGAAAACTTTATTATGCCGTGATATTTTGTATCGACATATGATTACAATATTTTTGATAACTTAATGTTAATATATTGTATGCAAATAGATTGCTTATATATAATATGATATATATATTTAGCATTATGAGGCATTAAATGTGATTTAGTTTGATTATTTGTCAATCTACAATATATATATATAATTTACGACATACAATCAGGACACACGAATGTGTCATCTTTTTTAATGACATGTTTTTCAATGACACACAATGTAAGTCATAAATGCTTGTCATAAATTTATGACACACAAATGTGTGTTGTCTTCATTTATGACAGGGGCTTCAATGGCGCGCAATGAGCGTCATAAATGCGCGTCATAGATTTATGACGCACAATTGTGTGTCATCTGAGATTTATGTTAGTGGCTTCAATGACGTTCATTTGTGGGTCATCTGCACCCATAGATGACGCGCAATGCATGTCATTAAAGGGGTTTTTCTAGTAGTGAGAGGGTACACCTCGTATATCTTATTCCTCTAGTAATTCAGCTTATCCTCATTTTCATCATCGATATGTTAAAAAAGATAACATGGAAGGTTTGTTGCGAGATGAATTTAAATATGTGCAGTCGTCATTAACAGGTTAGAAAAGATGGGAATAAGTGGATGTGATGAAGTGCCAAATGGAGAAGCGACAAAGTTTTATAAGTTACTTGATTAGATGAATGAACAATTTTATGAGGGATTGAAATATTCAAAACTCTCTTTTTTGCATTCGTCTTTTCAACTTAAAATGCTTAGGAGGGTGGACCAGTAACTCTTTTATGATGTTATTGGAGTTTTTTTATAGAAATATTTTCTTTTTCAAAAACCCCTCAATCATGCAAAAGATATGAAGAAAATGATAAAGGATTTGGTCATTGTTTATGAAAAAACATAGTTTTTCCAATGAATGCATATTATATTAGGGTGATAGGAAAAATCAGGAATCCTATCATATATGTGGAAAATCTCATGGATGAATGGGGATGTAGAAAATGTGAGTGAGAACAAAGTTGCAGCACGATCAAGAAAGAAGCCATTAAATATTTTGTGATATTTTCCTCTATTACCTAGGCTTCAAAGACTTTTTATGTCTTTAAAGACTGTTGAGTCTATGAGGTGGCATTATGATGGACGTACCGATGATGGATTATTAAGGCATCCTGTGGATTGTTTAGCTTGGAAGTCATGCGACAAAAATTTCCAAGTTTTGCAAGAGATCCTCGAAATGTCAAGCTTGGCCTTGCATCTAAAGGATTTAATCCTTTTAAAATCATGAGTATTTCGTACAATACTTGCCTTGTTCTGCTTGTTCCCTACAATTTACCTCTGTGGATTTGCATGAAACGATCATATTTTATCTTATCAATAATAATACTCGATGAGAAGGATCTTAGGAATGATATTGACATCTATATGTAGTCTCTTATTGAAGAGTTCAAACAATTATGGGTGGGTATCGAAACATATGATATGTTGAAGAAGAAGAACTTTAATTTATGTACGACTTTATTATGGACTATTAATGATTCCCCTACTTATGCAAATTTATCTTGTTGGAGTCTCAAAGGTCATTCTGCCTGTCCTTGTTGTGCTATGCAGACATGTTCAAAGTGGTTGTATAACAAAAAAACAGTTTTCTTATATGGGACATCGTCGGTAGTTAGGTAAAAAATCACATATTTAGATATAAAAAATATGTTTGATGGTACTGAAGAGTTTAAAAAAGCTTTTGAACAAAAAATCGGGTCTGACATATTATCAATGTTGAAACATATCAGGTTCACTTATGAAAAGATGAATCAACCATCAAATTAGCGATCAAAGAAGAAGGAAAAGTAGGTGTATGGTCGTGGTGTTGAACAACAAAGTGGTGATGCGTCTAATGAAGAGGATAATCCAAATGAGATGGATTTACAAAAAACAGAATTATTTTCTTTGAGTTAACCTATTGGAAGGATCACATTTTGAGACATAATCTTGATGCATGCACATTGAGAAGAATGTTTGTGAGAATATTATATGGATCATTCTCAATGTCAATAGTAAATCTAAAGATAATCTAAAGTGTCGACTTGACTTAGTTGACATCAAAATTCGACATGATCTTCATCCCTGATTACTTTCTAATGAAATATCTTGGTTATCTGTTTCTATTTTTACAATGTTGAAGAAAGAAAAAAAAGTGTTTTGCACGGTGTTGAATGATATAAATGTACCAGATGGGTATACATCAAATATATCTCGATGTGTCAATGTTAAATATTTGAGACTTTATTGTCTAAAGTCACATGATTATCACATATTGATGCAAGATTTACTGTCAGTTGCTTTATGTGATTATATGTCGAATAAGGTGACGTCTTGTAAAATTGAACTTTCCAATATAATGAAAGCTATCTATGGGAAAGTTCTGATGGTTGGAGAACTTGAGAAACTGCAAGATCAATCTGCCTTAACTTTATACAATATGGAGAAGTTAATTCCACCTTCATTCGTCACAATTATGGTGCCCTTATTGGTTCATTTTCCTCACGAAGCTAAAGTTGGTAGATCGGTTTTCTATCGATGGATGTATCATATAGCTAAACTTGATCAATATGGGTTGGGGGTATTTATATTGCTCTCAATTGACAACACCATATATATGGCTATTAAGAATATTCATAGGTTAACAGATTAGATAGATTTGATAGTCAGATCTTGAATTTTTCCTTGGTAGATCATGTGAGTTTATCATAGTCTTGTTTAGAGGTCTTGTGTATGCGTTGTAGTCTATTTGATGGTTAATGTCGCCGTCATCCCCATAGGTTAGCAATCCATTAGTAACTCTAGTGGGTGGAATGGTCTATCTAGGTCTTCGATTGGTAAAGTGGTGACAGCTTCTAAAAATCATTTTCAAAGTTATAATATGAATAAAATATAATTTTAATTGAGATCAGTTCAAAATTAAATTATATCATTAATATATCAGGTGAGGTTGAAATGACAAAATAAATCATCAATCTCGCTCTATGGTCATCCCTAAACTTCAATATTTTAATTCAATTAACGTTTTGGATCAAAACATACTTTTTCTAAGAATACAAAAACTAGAATATCTCTTTTAATAATAAATGAACTATAATCAATTTTTTAAAGTAATAGAACAACTTTTTTTAGATTTTAATATATATCATTTTAATTTAATATTAAAGATATTAAATTGTGAGCGGTAAATATATGATTTTAAAAAGTATGACAAAGTGTAAAATAAATATTTATCAAATATATTAAAGATAGTATATTCTGTCTTCACTTAAAATGATACGCTCTAAAATGAAAGAAAGATTTGTAAAGCGATAGAAGTTTTGTCATCTCCATTTCTATAAGTGAGATTTGTTAATATTTGAAATGAAAATGTCAAATCTATAATAACATTTAATTTGAATCTTATTTAAATCTTTTTGGTTAATCTGGAAATTAATAATTTTTCAATATATATATATAAAGATGTAATATACATTGGAATTTCTTGCACACTCATAATATCAGTGAAAAAATATTTATATATTTTTTAAGTTTTTAGTGAAAAAATAAGGGTATATATTTAGTACTTAACAAAAATTTTTGTTCTGTTGTAGTCTCTCAACTATTATTTCTTTTTAAATCATATCTAAGTTAGGCTTTGGTTTCATTTTGGTCACCTGCAATTAAAATAGTAAGAAATCTGTTGACATGATATTTTCATAAACTTTTCAATGATGACATGATATTTCCTTATGGTGACACATTAGCATCATCGTTAATATTTAAACGGTGTGTCACCAAAATAAAACCAAAACATAATGTTATGTATGATTTTAAAATAAAAAATAGTTGAGTGACC